ATGTACTACTCTCACCATGTTGGCATCCAAAGTACTGAATATGTAATACTTGAACACAGTCAAAAGACACATTCCACGAAACACTTAAGATACTGCCTGGCGTATCCCCTAGCTGATGGAGGCAGAACAGTGGGCAGATCAAACACCGACATTCTGATGAAAGGTTGCTATCAAGCCTCAACAGCAATGGCTACAGCTAAAATTTCAAGAACTGTTTGAAAGAACACACTGTAAATGCTAAAAAGTTAAACAGAGGCAAGGATTGTGTTCTCCCCCAAACTAGACTACATAGGTACCTTATTCACTGAAACTTCAACTACCTTGACATGACTGCATGGTCTTGAGAAGTCAGAACTCTTCACAAAATAATCTTGTCATAGAAGCCTAAAGAACATTATCACCAGAAACACTGACATAAGGTGCATAAAATTTCTTAGATCCAAACTTCTAATAGACAACTTTGAGATTCTGTGCTGGACTGGACATGAGATTATATATCCATTAGGTAACAGAAAGGAGCTTTAAAACTTTCCTATGAGCCATTACATCTGTTACCGATATGCAGCTAGTCACATAAAATGCTATGCTTTATTTGGCATAACAGTATCAAAAATGGGGAGCATACTTAGCACCAGGAATTGTATCAGACCAAAATGAGGCTGCAAAAACATACCTAGGATTATTTTTCACTGGGCAAAGACTGTTGATCAGGCAGCAGATATTCTCCAGCACCACCCTAGGACTTCCTGAGCTAGTAAAAAGCAGCTTTCCACAATGCTTAAAGCAACAAGAAATCCAGGTCACCAGTTATAAAGTGCAGATCCAGAACAAAAAAGCACCCAGGAAAAAAAAGGCATTTTCAAGAGGAATTTGGTTACTGGTTAGGTTCTCAGACTGACATCTGCAACTAGTCAGAAGAAGCAGAGAGCTGGGGGCAAACATTGCTCATTTCATCTGGTTTCAGATTCTCATAACAATCACTTAACTCAGTATGAAGGTTAAAGTGAGATTTCCTAATGCCAGAGGCTTATTTTCTATTGTGGAACAGTCTGACTCCCACTCCCATAGAGTAAAAACTCACACACTTTGCACTGTCCTTGATGGCAAAGATATTTATAAAGCAACTTCCATTATTCACTTCAACATTTGTTGGACCACGTGGGAATGCGTAGTGCTTTGCAACTTACCTGTTTGCACATGCAAGTAAAGAATATATACTGCCTTTTTGTCAGGGTAGCATATGGTATTTTAAATACCTGCACAGCAGAATATTTCATTGAGAAAAGACTTACTACATAGATCAGTTTGATAATTAACAGAATCCAGAAAAATGTATGTGCAGTTGAATATGTTATGATGATAGATTCCTTGTACCCATAGGTTTATTTCCATATGTTCCTCAGTTTGCTCCTGTTCACTGATATTTATATTCTTCACAGAGCAGAGGTAACAGAGCAGGAACTTTAGTACTCAGTATTTTACAAGGAAATACATTAGAAGTGCCAGTGAGTCAGAGCTCTGCATTGACCTGTACAGTAAGACAAACCCATAAACTGAACAGCTATCTCACTAATAGTAACAGTGATACTAGAAGACAGATTTCTCTTCTACACAGTCTTTGACCCAAAAATTACTGGTCGTTATGAAAGCTTTCTTTTGAGACTAAGATTTTGCAGTTCGCTAGAACAGTTACAAAAGACAGCACAATGGGAATTACATGAGCCAGATAGTGCTACCATGAAGCATTTGTAAGTAGCTTTGGTGCCTTGGAAAGTCCATAAAAGGATACTTTTTGTACAAATTATGATTTAGTCTCATTAGATCCAGTTCTAGGGTTTGGGCTGTGTAGATAGTGGTTCAAAAGTGTGTTCCCCTGCAAGCTAGACCTGGCTGTGCAGAGATGAAAGCAATCACCCTCCTGAATTTGAGGCAGTGTACTGAGGAAAAGCATACACATCTAAAATATATGGGGAAAGAGAAGACCCTCCTTGAAGGAGGCAGTCTTATTGTTCCTCAGTGGTACACAAGTTCTCATCTTCAAAAGGTTACCATCAGTATGGTTCCTCAAGGAAGGTGGAATGGAAAGAATTCGGGTAGTAACTTTAAGCTCTTATATCGCTACACCTTCATTACTCTGAGTATGTATAAAAGTTGAGAGGTCGACTTCTAAAATGTCAGCTCTGGTTTATGCCAATCCAATCTCCAGAAAAATCTGCTCCTTTTTATTGTTCTATTCTGACATCTGCTCTCCTGCTGCTGGAACAAATATATAACCTTTACTCTCTCTGAAGTGCCCGTTAAGTCCAAGACACCAGGAGTCTTGTTTACTTAGCTGCTAAGCCATATTTACAGAATATAACGCAAAATCTGTAATGCTGCCAGAACTTCAAGGAAAGAAATCTTTAAAAAACATACGGCATGCTGTATTACAACCAACTATTAAACTATAGAGTTTAATAAAACTTCTAGGACCCCTATATGAGCAATACTGCATTGCTTTGACAATGCTTGTATACTTAACATATACCACCAATATTGCTTCCAGGACATATTGGTGACTATATGCAAGGCCTACAGATTTATGGTCGGTGTACAATGATGTGATGACTTCACAATATAGCTACCTCTGTGCTACAGTGGACAGCTGGAACACTTGAACTTCACTAGAAGCTGAAGTTCAGAGAGGGGCAATATGACCAAGTCACAAGCTGCCAAGCCTATTTCCTCTTAGTCAACATACATGAGTTGACTTCTATTATATCGGTAGGCAGATCTCAGAAAAGTCAAGTTGCAGCTGATCATCATTACCACTGAAACTTCACCAGTAAATTAAAAAGCAAGTACACTATCAAGTCCCTCTAATTTGACAGCTAGGATCTTGTAGTTGATACACAACAAAAGATATTCTGCAGACATGCAAAATACATTTCCATAAACAGTGTCTTGACACAGACCTTGTGCTTAAGGTTAACAGTGACATCATAGGGATGAATATTTTGCTATTAAAATAAAACCTTTATTATTGGGAAGATATCAGCAAACTGTCAATCCAGGATCTCCTCATCTCCCCTATTTTCTTTATAATTGTTATATCTATGTCTACATATAATCTATACCCTGCTTTCAGTCTTCAGTATCAGAGAAGTTCAGAAGATTTAACTTTAAATGAATACAGAATCATTCCTGAAGAACAACCCTTCCACAAGATCAGAGCTAACGCTACATCTAATTCTACAGCGATGAGAAGCACCATATTCATATTCCCTTGTTCTGAAGCTGGTACCAAAGTTCACTGCATCATCCCTATCTGCAGCGCACCAGAAGTTTTGCCACAAATACCAGTTGTCACATGTGCTAAATGTTCCTTTGCTGGAACCTAGGCACAGTATTATGCCATATCATTCCACCCATAGCCTCTTTGACTCCAGCAGAATAGGTTTCTCTTCCTGAATCAGGTGCAGCTCAGGACTGCTCAACCAGAACTTGCTCATCCTCACATATCCAAGTTTGAGTAGGATGAACTCATCAGTTATTTGTCAGAAACTGCCATTTCATTCCAAATTAAGACAACATGCTGGCAGTCTACTAAGGACATAATGCCAATAAACAGCCAGGGCTTAAACTAGGGTCCTGTCACAAGCACATGGGCATAAGGCTTTTTATTTTGTTGAAAAGGGTACCATTTCCATTTGTTTTGTGGATGCCCAAACTGACTGCAGGTCTTTCTTGCTGAAAGCTTCCTTTCCCCTTTTCATTAATTTCTCTAGCATGAGTCAATGAAGCTTCATCTTCAATGTCAGGCAAAAAGGGACTAAGAGGAGGTCATAACCACTCACCACCCATTACATTGAGAGTGCACAATATTAAGCAAATATTTGTATTTTCTCATAAAACTTATTACAGCAAAAGCTTTCTCACCAACATACTCAAACCAGGAGCATGGCTAGTAGTATCACTGGCAAGCATCATGCTGTTCTTTTTCCATTAGCCAGATGGTGCAACTAAAGCATTTACCATATTTACTAGAGGTGGAGTGAAAAGACAATTCAACACAGAAAATTCAGTAGTATAAAGGAATTACAGAAAGTAACCAGAACATATAAAGAAGGTGCTTGTCCCTCAAAAGTTAAGTTTTTATTGAATACAATTCCCAACTTTTAATTCCACATTTGACTAGTTTTTGAAAGCAGTCAAGAAACAGGTACTTGGACCTCTCTTGACATCATCCAGTTATTCACTATTGTAGTTAACCGGATATTACATCTTGTTCCAGTCACTACCTCTACCTAGCACAGAACGCTTCAGTAGATTTATAATGAACACCTCATGCCATGCAATGCAATCTTGTGCTTTATAACCTGCACTGCCCAATTCTATGTTGATTTAACTCCATATCAAAACAAAAACACCTTATAGAATCTTAAGAGTCTGGGAACATACCTAAAGACACTACAGCCTCCTCTTCCAGGAAGTTACAATAAAGCCCAGCAATTACTTTCAAATTGCACTTTCAAACAAGGAAACTGACAGCAAGACTTCACATATGAAGGTCCCATTATCACTAAAACATGAACTGATTGCTTGGCTGAAAATAGTAGGGAACATTGTTCACCTTCACAACATGGTATGATGTTCATGTTCAATTTGAGGTGTGGGGAAAAAGGACCAGAATTTGACAGTGGGAGATTTTGCCTGATGGGAAAATTTATGAAGATATATTTCTACTCTTCTGTTTAATTAGCTGCTGTTAACTTGGGGTTTTATATTTGATTACATTTAACTACTACCACAAAGGGTACCAAAGATTTAGGATGGAATTAAAACCCATTTAACAAAAAAATGCTTGATTTCAGTAATTTTTCTGAGCAGGGGAAGCTATTTGTTTGTTGTAGCAGCTTAGGGATAGTATTACATTAACTGCTGTTGTATCAGTTGAGGCTTTGAAGAGTATGATAAACTCTGCTTCTTTTTAGTTTAACCCATTAAAAGAAAAAGCTTACAATGTCACTGCCGGAGAGTGATGATACCGAAGAGGCAGATGAGCCAGAGGATAGCTGTTGTGTACTAGCCAATGACAAAGCCAAGCGTTGGTTGTAAGATGGTTCAGAGTCTCTGTTCTGTTGCTGTTCTCCATTGCATGGTGCTATCTGGTCTCTTACTTTCAATCTATTATCTGTTAACAGAAAACATAAGTATCATTTAAGAGCACAGAATACAAACGCATGGACTTTGACGACTAAGATCTGCAGTTTAACAAGCTCATTGTAAAACAGGCTCAAAGAAAACTAGTCTTGGGTTAGAAAGTTACAAATTTCTTTTAGTTTTTCCTACATATCTGAAAGTGATTAATTTCAAGGTGTAAGTATTTCCAATTACATCAAATTCAAGAAAAAATTTTAAGTTGATTTCAAAGATTCCTGCTATACCTACCAAGTTCAGGTGACAAATTAATTTTGCTCCCCCACTTCTTTTTAATCCAGGCCCTGTAGTCAATCACTTCTTGGGTCACTTTGATGATTCTACCTAACGTGCTAAAAAAATTTTTCAATTAAGTATTAAACAAAGACTATTGGTTACATATTTGCAAGCATTTCAACAAGCAATCAAATTATGCGAAAAGTCAATTTAAGATACTCCTAATCAAGGAATTTGAACTTTCATTTCCTTCGCACATCATTTAATACACTGAAGAGTCACAATTTTTAAATTAGTATATTACTTATCTTCTATGATACTAACATGCAAGCACTGACACATAGGTAAGTCTTTTACCCCGTATTTCTATGTAGTGCATCTTAATTATGTACATGCAGATACCAGGGTACTTGATAAAGCAATTTACAGGTTCTTGCACTTCTCCTTATAGAAAGTATTTTTTCCACAGAATCTGGGTTATAACAGTTATGGGATGCACTGAAGACATTAATATCCCAGCCCCCCAGCTGACCTTCATGCTGAAGACAAGAGACCTTCACTAGTCCTTGCTTACAGATTTATAAGACAACTTAAGGTGTAAGATCCCCACAATTATAAAGGAAGTACCATGGATCGTGAGGTAGTGGAAACAAGAAACAGACTGGCTCCAAAACCAGAGTAAGTCAGAATTTAAGAAAATTCAAAACAGCAAGTGGTTCAAAAAAAAGCCTACCTTTAGTGACCAGTTATCAGCAAGTACAAAGTAATCTTTTTCCAACATGCCTTCCCAACATTCAGCTATTTCAATTGTACTGCTTGAGCAGCGGTTGTGTTCTTGTTTGAGAACTAAGCTTTCAAGCTTTCCCTTCATCAGGGACTAGTGGCTGAAACACTAGCTATAAACTCCACACTCAAGACACATGAAGGACTGACGGTTGTACAAAAATAGGAAAAGTTACCAACTTGGAGAAGGTAATGTTAATTTAATTTTGAAAGTCTCCAATGGTTATAATAAAGCTTATTTTGTACTTCACATCATAAAGGTACCTTGTACCTGTACTGGAATTTTATTTTGGTTTAGGTATATAATGGGAAGGGAGGACATACATAGCCTAAATGTATTTAGACTACCTTTACTAGGTCATTACACTTTTAAAAAAAGCAATAATTCTCCTACTGGCATAGCGATTACTATTTCATGCAAGACCAAACACCACATGTTCCATATTTAGTCTTCCAATTTTAAAGACATGTCAGTGTGTAAGTACTGAAAAAGGCAGTCTAGCATTTTAAGCAAACATCAAACCAAATAATACCATCTAAGTTACAAGTCCAATAGCTGCAGAAGGGTTTCATGGACAGACTGAATGTCATCCACCATTATATTTATGTAATGTAGATGAAATGATGGATGTTGGAAAATAAAATCTTAAATTTTACATGCAGAATTAAAGGTGTGATTGTCACCACTCAGCAGCTGAAGATCTGGGTTATAATAGGTAATTCTTTGGAAACCACAGTTCAATAGCTAAGTAGAGCACATTAAGAAAGGAACAAATAAAACAGAGGATAGTACTTTGTCAAAGTACACTCCCATGATATAACAGCATTTTAAATACTTGAAGCAGTTCTGATTTCTCAATCTCAAAAAGCAAGTTAAGTAGAGGAGATAGAATGAAGACAGTGATGACCAATACTGCAGAGAATCAGCTGTGGCCCTGAAGCTGCAGTTCAAGACAGCAATGCCAGGATGGGACTCAAACATACACATGCTAAGTCTCTTCAGCACTGGGACAGAGAAGGAAATCTTGCAGCTAAGAAGTTTAATCTGAGAATGCCTTCAGAAAGATTTGAGCTTTTACTACAGGATAACCTATAAATTCTACAACTACTACCAGCTGTGGTCTTAGAACCAGAAGATGAACATGGACTGAATAACACAAGCTCCTATGGAAAAGGAGTTTGTCAAGTCTGAAGCTTCTTGGAGTACTTTTCCAGAAGCAAATCAGTAGTCATGCCTTCATATACCAGAAGGAAAATGAATGATACAGCATGCTATTTTTATCAGCCTGGGTGACTGATATACCAAAAATGCCTGCTATCAAACAGGTGTAAAGGGTGAAATTACTGCTACATCATCAATTATGGCAGAGTTGCACATACATAACCTGGAAATCTCTTCTCTCACTAGCTCCTTTCACAGAGAAGATAGATCAAAGCCCCATTTTTGGTAGAAAGGTAGAAAAAAAAAGGAAATTCACTAAGTTATCAGGTCAGGAGTTCAAAGGCAGATCCATGCTGCAATGCTCATACACCAAAATTAAAAACATTAATTATGAGACATCAGAAACTGAAAGGTGATTAAGGCTACACTGCCTTGTATTTAACATAGTAGAAAAAAAAGGAGGAAGCAAATGTGATCAAACTACATACTGTTCTCAAAGAACACCACTTCTTATGTATGGGACTCAAGCACATCCACGGGGGTCAAAGAACAATTTTTTAAAATAAACATTTAAAAATTGGGCTTATATCTGTTTTCAACACTGAAAATGCTTAGGAGCAAAAAAAACTATTAATCTGCCCCACCTTTAGTATAAGGAAATTCCACACTGGGGTTTCCTTTTTTGGCTGAGGCTAGAATTTTTTACAGATGAGACACTCCCACAATTCTTCAACGATGCTTGTTTGGAAGACATGTCAAAAACACAGCTAACTCATTAATAAAATTAGACACCTCTCCTAGGAAAGATGCCCCTTTAAGGTTTTTCCCTTATATAGTAAACCAGGAATAAACTATTTACATATCTTGTTTATTTTATGGTAAGAGCTTAGAAGCTCCTAATTTTACACACTGCAAGCCCTCAGCTCACAGGGACAATTTCTAGCTGTCATTACAGCAAAACTACAGTGCAAATAAATAAGATCACTCTTAAAAGGCTCAGATTGATGATGTAAGATTCAGTAAAATCAAATATCTAAAGCTCCAGCTAAGCTCTACATGAATGAGTACCACAGCAGGAAAAATCATCAAGTCTGTGAAAGAACAGTCAAAATAAGTGTTCAGTAGGCCTTCAGTGAACTTATGAAATATGCCTCTGGTATTAAAAGGATAAAATAATCTAAAAGCAGACTAAGGAGCACCTGAGAATGATCTGCTTGAGCATGAGGATTAAAAAAAACTCTAACACATTTACCCAGACAAATACTCTGTGTAGGAAAAGCTGATATTGCTGATAACTCTTAAGAGACAGCATGCATTCCAGTGACAGCCACCCACCATTCAAGATGTAAAGCAAAAGGAAGAACTGTTTCAGACAGCACATTTCTGCTTTCTGCGTCAGCAGATCTAGCAGGCAAATTTAACACTCCCTTTGACAGCTCCCAGGGTCAATCTTGGCCAACCATGGGCAACCCAAACCTAACATACCGACCTGTCAGCAGTTCGATCAGTTGAACTGTACACTAGGAAGAGACCAAACAGCTTTCAAGCACAGAGATGGAAAGATCGCTTTATATATGGCCCGGACTATTGTTGTTTTAAAGATTATCACCTGTAAATGACAACTCCAGACATGCAGTAGCAAAACCCTGCCAAGGCTTCCTCAAACTCTGAACTCTGGCCTGTTGGCATGACAGTCCCTTTCCCTCATCTGCCTGTACCACATGTCTGGCACCAATAAGAAGGAACTTGTTACCAATCTGCAATTCTAGGAACTGAAGAAAGACTTCAAAAGTCTTAGTTATACTGGAAGGGCACATCACAGCAGAACCAGTCTTCCATTCCTCATTTCATATGACCTTGTCTGCCTCCCAAAAGTGGCTACACTGCTGTTTAAAGATGCACTCTGAGCATACATTCATGTCTGAACCATGCAACAGACCAACATGTAAGCCAACATCCTGATCTACCGACATATGTATTAACCTAAGGATGCATCTTTGTCACATCCAGATCAGAATAACTTATGGCTGTCAAATGGTACAATACCACTTTCTCCATCTTGCCCCAAATGCGAACTCCCGTTGGTTCTCTTGCTTCTGATCTGCTCATCACGCAGCCACAAACTGGATTAACTACTCGATGTGACAGAAGTGTTGCTGTATTTGTTTTCAGTCAGACCACAGTTCATCTGACTCACCTTCTGACTGCAGGATCACTAGATCTGATCCAAGGCAAGAATCATGAACATACAGACTGAGAAGGAAGAAAAAGGGCAGCCGACAGGAGATAACTCACAGATAGTTACGCTAGACAAGGTATAATGTGAAATTGCACCTTAATATAGAGATCACAGACAGGGTAGTAACAGATAGTCCACTGTTTCAAAGAACATGAATCAATAAGCAAGAGCTTGTTGCCGAACACCTGTTAAGGTTTCCTGTGGTTTATCAAGAGACAGAATAAAACTCAGCAAATGGTCATTAACTTGAAATTTCATGCCCAAAGAAGAGCAACGAAGCTGGTGAAGGGTCTAGAGCACAAATCTGACGAGGAGCGGCTCAGGGAACTGGGGTTGTTTAGTCTGGAGAAAAGGAGGCTCAGGGGAAACTTTATCGCTCTCTACAACTACCTGAAAATAAGGTTGTAGCAAGGTGAGTGTTGGTGTCCCAAGTAATAAGCAATATGATGAGAGGAAATGGCCTCAAGTTGCACCAGGGGAGGTTTAGATTGGGTATCAGGAAAAATTTCTTCACCAAAAAGGTTGTCAAGCATTGAAACAGGCTGCCTAGGGAAGTGATTCAGTCACCACCCCTGGAGGTATTTAAGATGTGTAGATGTGGCACTTAGGGACATGGTTTAGTGGTACACTTGGCAGTGTCAGGTTAATGGTTGGACTTGATGATCTTAAAGGTCTTTTCCAACCTAAATGACTATCATTCTATGAAAATATCACTCCTTACAGACTTCTTTAGCTAGTTTACTTAAGGTGAGCTCTAGAGACTCTTTCTCTAGAGGCAGGCTATGGCCAAAGACCATACCAAAGCTGTTCAAAGCACATACTGACACTGACTCTCAGGCAGGAGCTATCCTGTCCATAACACTATTTTACAGCTAAACTCATGTCCCCGTGGCCCAAAATATTAAGAAACCAATTGTGATTATCAATCACATTGGCTGAAGTCACAACGCTAATCTTCACCTTGCATACAAGTCGTACAGATTCAAAATGGATCAGTCTCCTCATTTTCCTACTAGAAAACTCCCCCTTCCAACATGATGGGAATCTGTTTGCTCTAACAAAAACTACTGAACTGTCTATCAGCCTCTCCTGAGCTGTTCTTGAAAGAGTATGGGTAGGAGATTGGGGACAAAACAGTGTTAAGGTAATTTCTGTAGCTGTAAGAATTACCTTCAAGTCTCAGCTGTTTACTGTTTCCACTCAGACAGATGATAGCTTTCAACTCCCACTACACTCCAGCTGTTATATTTAGAAGCTTAAATGAAGATGTTGGTAAGAGTGATTTGAATCTACCCCTTATTATTCTGTGGAACTTTCTACTACAGAACACAGACAAGAAAAAGGTCTACACTGAAGGACCAAAATCTCTGATCTAGCCCCAATTTGTACTGAGGGTTAGAATAACAGACACTAGAGCAGATACATGAATGAAAATACAACGCAACTGACATGCCTTCATTTTCTTTCTCCTTCTCCTTTCAAAAACAGAAAGCTTGCAAAGGTGAGAGCTGAGAAAGTACTAGCTGTGCAGTGTTTCTATGAAAGACGTTAAGAACTGCATTAAAAATAGTACATCTAGAAGTATGCTACTTTTAATGGCAGTTCTGACATTACAGCGAAACTGAACTGGTTCTTTTAATAGTGTAATTGCATATCAAGCCTTTTAAAACAGCTTATGGGAGCATGTATTTAAGAACTAGGGAAATTTCTAGCCTTGTTGCCTAGCTTTGTGTCTAAACAAGCAATTTGATCACACACATTTCTTTCTGCCATAGTACAGACATACATCATACCAAACATTAAACCAGCAGACCTGCCTTTGAAATACTTTAAGCAGAATATTCGAGGAAAGATCAATTAACTTCTGGCTCCCTTCCACACTAAGAGAACCTCACATTGGACTCATCCTGGGTTTTGTCATGCTGTCTTCATTTCAATGATGCACACTGAGTTATTACACTCTCATACCACCAGGCAGCCTAAATTTCTGGGCAGATTTCAATACAGCCGCAGTTGAACAATAAATAACAATATTCCTTTTATTGATTTAGACCCAAACATTCCTAATTGATTACACAGACAAATGGATATTCAAAAAGCGGACTAATTACCTCTCAGAATCTCTATTTGGATATGATCTTGCAAGTGGTGATACTGCATGGCTAAGAACAATGTAGGCATAATCAAAAACTTGTTTCACTTGCATGGCACCGTAAGAACTTCTGCCAACGTCGTTTCCTGAAATAATGTGACAGTCATCAGATCATCTTTTTTTAATATCAGTAACCAGAAAATTATTCATACTTAAAGCTCAGAAGGCTTAACAATACAGCTTTACTCTGTTTAAACAGGTTAGTCCATGCTACTCATATCAGGAAGAACTAAGTGTGCCTATCTCAATAAAAGACCTTAACTTTAGGAACAATACTTAACATTATGCATTCAATTTACCACTTTTAAAATATGGATGAACAAAACAGAGTAGAGATCAGCTTAAAGCTCTTACAGCTGTCTTTTAAGAGGGAACCTACCAAGCTTAAAGCACCATGTCTCACTTACCAGTAGAGTTTCTGTGGGCCAAATTCAGCTTAAAATTCCACTTGCACAACCACATTATCTTCATAGGGCTAGGTATACTTGCATCAACCCCTACTTAACCTTATCAAAACTACAGATCAATAAACCAGCTCATACAGATTATTTATCTCCACAGCATAAACCAGTTTGACAAAATCTATCATAGAGGATTCCAGAAGTTTGTACAGCATTGTTTTTTGCTCAAGTTAGTGGCACTTCTTGACTGCCCCTCTTTAAGCATGAGTGACATTTATAGCAGAACTCCTTCAAATCCAGTGCCATGTGAGGAACTGCAGAAGTTACAGGTTTAGCATGTTCTTATCAGTGACAATGTGCAAGCATTGCTCTCCTATTTGAGACCTAGAAAGATCTTGCTATTACTACCAAGAAGCAGCATTTGGGGTTTTTTTTGTAGCTATATTTGGCAGCAGACACCAAAGGTTCACTGTCACCCCTCAATTTAAGAAACACAAAGAAAACCGCCTTCAAATTGCACATCTAAAATACTGGCTAGATCTTGAGTGCATAGAAAGCTGCTTACAGTAAAAGGTTCCTTCCTTCAGAATAATGCCTAAAATGTTGTGAGAACACTGGAAAGGGATGAACCACCAAACATGTTTATTTTAAGCTTGAAGATCAGATCAGCACCCATGAACAGGTTTTAATGAAAAATCTGCTTTGAAAATTGATGGGTAAAGGACAGAATCTACCCTTTGGGGGACTGAATCCAATAAGGCTGAATTTTACTTTAGAGGAACCCTTCACTTACTGAAGTATTTTGTCCAGCAAGCCATTATAGACAAACATGCTGAGGTCTGCCATCCAGAGGGGAAAACAACAGCCTTGGCTTTACTACTTGACGACACATTTTAGTCCTAAGATTCTCCAACCATAATGGCACTTTAACAGAAAAGCATTATCAATGAAAATAGACTGCAAACATAAGAGCATTTTGGGAACACAGATTTTCTTCAGTAATTTATATGGTCAGATAAAAACTGATCAAGAAATACTTCCTGTCTACTGAAGTACCTGAGTATCTTGTTCCGAATGCACTGCTGTAACTATCTAGCAGCTACTAGGCTCAAAATTACAGAAGCCTCTCTAAATGGCATATTTGCAATCGGACTCTATCCTGAAATAGAAGCAGAGACCAATGTGGGCCTAGGACAGCAAATCTAGGAAGAAACACATTGTAGTTAAGTTCAGAGTTGCACCACAAAGTAGCAGAGGACTTCCCATAGGATTTAGTCCAAAGGCAGCTGAATAGAGACCAAGGTATTTCAATGGTCAAGAAATCAGAACACAAAAAAGTTAATTCTACTAGAAAAACAATGATTAATCCAGTACAGGACACATTGTTGTGTCCTGCAACAATGTTACCTTCCACACAATGACATGCTAAACTTATACAGAAGAATTAAATTGAGAAGCAATACAAAAATGGAATATATACAACTGGCTAAACACACACAATTGTACCTACCACTAAATTTGAGTCCATCTACACTTGGACCTGATGATCATAAAGGTCTCTTCCAAGCCAAATGAATCTATAAATTCACTAAAGAGGAATTAAGAATACACACTCAAAGTGCATTAGTTTGGCCTAATCTGCTGCTAAGGCAGCTACATTTGACATGCATCCTGCATAGAGTTAACCAAAATGAAGACACGGCTGCTACAAACTGTTGGTTACTCTTTTGACTGGCTTTGAGCAACCTGGTCTAGTGGAAGGTGTCCCTGACCATGGCAGGGGGGTTGAAACTAGATGATCTTTAAGGTCCCTTCCAGTCAAATCATCCTATGATTCATCAGTTGTTGCCACTTCCACTGTTGTGCCAGCAAAAGTAATCATAAGCCTTCCCTAAACCACTTACGGCAAACTCAGGCAGTTTAGTTTAAACCACCAACGAAGTTGTGTATGAGTCTTGATTGAAGCAGATTTGAGAACAGAGGCAGGATAGCTCATGCCATAGCATGCCTAGGTTCCTCGATTGCCTCATTCTGCACCTGTAATTAGTTCATAAAAATGTCTGAATAAACACATCTTATTCAATTATACAGTCCACAGAGCTTCTGACTTGCACTGCAGCTGAAAAGCAGGTACGGAAGCCAAAGCTACTACGCAAGCTACTGTGAACTGTATCAGTCAAGTCTGTATAGAGGTAGCCCTACCCAGTCCAGAAAGCAGTATGTTAAAGCAGTCAGAAGACCACATATTTGCATTTGCTGTCCTGAACAGATTTTCTTCTGAGAGATGGTTTTCATTAGCAGATCACATCTTACATACCTGAGCATCCTCCTTTTGTCACAGTCTACAGACTGATGAGTTAAAGCATGTAAACCCAAATGCTGTCACTCTTTAAAAAAATCACACAGACTTCAATCCTCAGATGTACATTAGTAGATAACAATGGTGTGTGATTTGTATGTATAATTCATTCTTTATTCTTTCTAACAAAGACTTCATCCCTAAAGCAGCGTGTCTAAGATTTCCATCACATGTTATCAGTATTACCACTCCATCAACTGGCCTTCCATTACCTGAAGTAGTTCTAAGAACATGGCCTGGAAAGCTAAAGGTGAGATGATGAGCTAGGACTGAAGTAGATCCATTTATGTTAAGCTATTATCTAGTAAGTACATTTTTGCAACAGTCAGCATTAAAGGCATCCTTTCAGATGCTAACTTCAGTGTATTATGTATTTTCATGAATGCATACATTTTATATACACACACATATTTACAGGTTCTAATGACAAATAGCAGATATTGAAAAACTGCAAAGAGTAACTCTGGGCAATCAACTAAGGCTACAACAGATAACTGCAATAGTTGTTGCCAATCTCAACTCTAATCACTCTCTCTATTTGCAACCTACCAAGATGCAGAAGCAACATGAAGCGTAATTAGTCCTGCAAGTTACAGTCTCTTTTCAAAGAAAATGCATCAAATTTAAGGCTTAGAACTTCTGTTAGTGCCCATAGCAATTCAGAATGAAGAACAACCTTTCTTATGAAGGGAGTAGCACAGGTGGAACCCCAAGTCTTAAACTGTGATTTAGTTACTGTTGTCACTGCCAATCTGAACGAAGATCAAAATCATTCCTGTTCTGAGCATCAGAAATGACTGAAGGACCTTGATAATCACCTGTTTCACAAAGGCATAAAATAATAAGCTTCCCTAGCAATGTGCTGAAGAAATGCCAAGTTTGTCTTACAACCACAGATTACAGATTTGTCACGTGCCACGAGTCATGTCTTCCAAGACAGGATACTGGTAGACCAACTCTGCACAAATCTCTTCTAGGGTGATATCATCTACCCTTCTCCAACATGTTCCTGTGAACAGACTTCGGAGTTCCTGGCTTTGCAGTTCTCCTAAATGAATGCTTTTACTTTTTACACAAAGAAATGACAACTGCTTTGAGAAACTGAAATGGTGGTGGCTACAAGCTGTTTATAGACATTCCCTTCTTTGGATGATTCTACGGGAAAGATTTTCATCTTATTACCCTGTCCTAGGACACTAACTCAAGACGAAGAATCCTAGGCTATGTATGAAGATCAAGAATAAACTACCACTTTAAAGTGCGTCACCAACTAGATTAGTCTGACATCTCAAATCCAGATTTCAACACAATTCCCACTTCAAATACAGACTCCTATCATCTTTGTTGGAATCTTGGTTCTCAAATCACAGAAATTATAATCCTCTAGCACCCAATAATCAGTCTTGAGAATCTCAGAGGAAACACTACAGCACCCAGGAGAAGCTGAGCAAAACCAACTACTACCAAAACAGCAACACAACAGGTTGATGCCTGTTCCATCCAAATCTAGGAACTAACAGAAGGTACCGAGCAGGTAGAACTGAAGTATCATATCCTTCCGATGACACCATTTATCTGTTCACCAGACATCACCATTTCACACTGAAGAAAAAACAGTTCCTCCAACTAATCCCACTGAACTTAATCCTGTCCCCTACAAGACTGTCTAAAGCTATTCTTATACCTTTCAGCATCCTACTGCTGAACTAGTGTACACACTCATAGGCGGGACTTCTACACTACTTGGATAATCTTGAGAAACTGAAAGGCTTTTTTTCATCCCTGTATTTTTTTTGTCTGATTTCTGGATTAAGAAGTCATCTTTCAAAGTCTTCTTCCAAGGCTTAACCAGAACTTTAGAGAAAGCTGTGATCAGACTAAAAAAGGATCACAAAAAAAGATTAAAAACTTGTGCATATAGTGCAAAAACAGGTTTGAGGGGAAAAACTCTACAACAGCTTATGCTAACTTAAGTCAAGAAACATCTGTGTCCACTCTTTACCAAAGTACTTGTTCTCATCTCCTTCACAGTACTGGCACTGACCCTCATGGAGTCAGACATTGAGTGGATCTGACCACAAACTAATCAAGCAGAGATGATGACTTGTCAACTGGGCAAGGACCTGAACCCTTGGAAAACTTTTTTTGTACTGGGACACAAGCAACAACAGAACTAAACTAATTAACAGAATTCTAGAAATTATCTACATACACTTGACAGGTACTTTTAGATACTGTCGGAATACGTGATTAAGTCTAGATTTAAGGAGGCTGTATTCATGAGACCCAATTCAAAGAATCATCCTACATGTTTTATATAATTTTCCTCCCAGTTCCATCAGGCAAGTTCTGAAGCTCTATGGTAGCTGCTAGAAAATATCCCTATGGGACATAGCAGTCAGATAACTTCAAGTTGTTGCCAGCTTTTATTTCCCTTGCCAAAACACCTTCTCTCCCGCAAGAATTGCATTATCTTAGCCCATATAACCTCATCTAAAATTTAATTCTTATCAACTCTTTGATAGCCTGTAACTAGATACCTTTCTTCTAAACTATAGTTCTTTAATTCTGCAAGATTTATGCTAGGAGGAACAGCTCAGAGCCCCTACTGGACTTGCAATTTTTTTTTTTTCCTTTTCTGGAGCGTCATTGAAGAGATGAAAAAATTCCAAAGCACTATTAGCAGCGATTAAAACATCGTGCAGCATACATAATTTCTTCTCTTGCAGTCCTCAGCAGACAGGAAGAACAGAACCGGAGGACAATATAGGTTTTTGACTCCAAAGAAATGTGATTCATGCTGCTACTCAAATGGGTCTTCAGGCAAGTAAGTACAGCTACTGAAGGAAATCTCAATAACATAATGAAAGTTCCGTAAAATCACACCTATGCCTGGCCAAGTGCAAGAGTCATGGACAAACTCAGAGCTACAAACACCAGAGATATGGTTAGAGAAATGATATCTCAGCTTGCAACCTGTTCTAGAGAACTACAAACATTCAGCATACTGAGTATTTACAAAGGTGCCAGACTTCAGCTCCTGATCCATGGTATTTGCTTTAAAGTGCTGTACATAAACAGTCTACCCATAAGACGTGACAGTATGGAGTTTGAGTGCCAATTACATTCTAGAAATACTAATGCTGAAGTCCCAACTGAACACTGACTCTGTTAATAAGCTGTTTTGGAATTCAGCTACTTGTGACAGTCTAAATAGAATCTAAACTGAGTACTATAAAGCTGGAAATTTTTTTCAGGAGCTCAGCCAAAATTACTCTTTATTACTCTGAAGGTTACTGAATCAAAAACAAATCTTAAAGAAAAAAAACAACTGTTAAGTTAGTTACTTTGAAAAGTGCATGCAACTACAGCTGGCATTCTCTAAAGGTCCCTGTGCAACACAGAAGCCAGTTATGCAAACCACTCTTCATGCCAACACCGTAATACAGTTGCTCCCTTGCTACTCACTCATGGACATACACCCACGTTTCTGTGTAGTCTCTACTGCATCACCCTGCAGGACAGGTACCTCACCTGGGGCATTTCTTTCCCATATGGTATAATTTATCTGAAGTATGGCACCACAGACTGCGGTGGGAAAAGCTACATCTTCCATTCTCATTCTCTCATACTGAACAATGGAATGGAGAGCTATTCCTACTAACAAACCCCCTTCCAGGATTTCCTGCACCTCTTTCTTTCACTACCCCTCAACACTGTTAGATAATCTTATTATACACTCAACACAGTTCTGAATCTCCAATGCATTATGTACCTGCACTGTTTGCGTGCAATCCAATTTACTCAGGCCATGAATCTTGGAAGACTTGAGGTCCTTATCCCTTAGCCCATCTCCGTAACTGTACCTTGACACCAGCAAGTCTTTTTGCAGTGCAGCTTCTTAACTCATTTGACAGACTTTTGGGACTCTAATGCAAGCTATGAGAGCACAAGTCGAGCCAGAGCTCCGGAATATTGCAAGAAGTGTACAATCTTACCAGGCAGGAGAGGATCTTCAATACATAGCATGGATGGTCTGTATCCATTAGTCATGACTTTCATGATTTCTTCTTTGGCAATATAGGCACCTCCATTTTTTATTCTAATACCAGTTTTCAAGTAGTTAAAATTCCTTCCATAGAGTTCAAAAAATTCTATCAGAAGCATTCCAAGGTTTTCATCAGCTCTTCTGGCATCAATTCTTGGATGCAGCTGTGACACAGAACAGTTGTTCATTACTAAAAATTAATGCTTTTCAGATCATAACACAGTGCAACAAAAAGCTCTCATTTAAACAGTGGAGTATAATCCCCTTACACAAGTCTGCATTGAGTCATTAATCCTTTTCATGTACCTAAACCACTTCCACGTAACCAAGAGGGGGCAGCACTTCAGCAGTATCTGGAACCAAAGAATTCTTCCCTCCTCTTCTGGCTTTATGAGGATTAGTAAATCCTTTTCCCTAAGCCAAAGGCAATAAAGAAGTATTGCATACTACATTACGGCTTAAAAACAGAGTAATAACCTGATTTTTGACAGAAAATCCATTAGTCTTAATGTTTGCAGAAGCAGCGGGAGAAATCTACTTACTCCAATTGAAATACAGTTCTTTTCTCAATCTCCCCATATTATATACAGTATGTAAAATCTATAGTAATATTTCAATTAATCATTAACAGCAGCAGAATATGTAGGTTTTTCCGTTATCACAGCTGCTGAGACACACTGACATCGTACCTCATCATACTTGTACAAAGCTGTCACAAAGATGTATTGGAAGAAGTTACAACTCATTAGCTATTTCATCAGTTACCTACAATATCTGCCAGTTTTAAGGATGTCAAATCACAACCAACATAATTAAAAAACAACTTGACTGTTTGATTTCATAATTTTAACAAGCACTGAAATCAACTACTCTGCACATTCAGTATCAGTAGTCTAGGAAGCAACAGACTTAAACTGCATTCTGGCAGATTTACAAAACACCAGTAAGATGATTCAGGTACTGGAACAGGGTGCCCAGGAAGGTAGCATAATCCACATCACAGGCCCTGGTATAGAAAGCAATGTACAGCCTCTATGTCATTCACAAGGCTTTTGCTGCTGTTTCACTTCACACAGTGAACAGAAGTTCTTAGCAGTTTGAGAGGTAGTCCATAGGACCCGCCAATGATCAAACACCTAGACCCGTAACAGCAAAGCTGTGCATTGCTAGGGGAGTCTAAAGAAACAGCACCACAACAAGGCATAAATACAGAAACCAAAATATTTTAAAGAACACAGAAACAAATAAGAAACAGACTTACCTGCAGGAAACTAATTGCCATTAAAATTAGGCTGTAAGAGCTAATTCCACCAGTAAAAACTTCATTTAAGTCCCTCTGAAGGAGGAACTGTTTTAATACTAAAATCAAATAAGGCAGCAAAGAATATTTCTGCAAAGCAAAATAAGTGTAATCAATTACAGTGTCAGTCTTCCAAAACAAAGAATGAACTACACAACCTCAACACAAGAAGATTCATCTTATAATACTAAAATGTTATTCAGTAGTGTACTATAAGTGTTTCCACAGGAAGAACTGAAACATGCATTTTATTTTTTTTTTTCCTAGAAAGAGATTAATAGACTTCAACTTTTATTTGATCAAACAGCTTACATATCAAATTTATTTCCCCTACTGAACAGGAAGATTATTACATCCTTCTTTGAATGCCAGTGTCACTCATAGTCAAAGCTTTCCATCTAAACAGTACTTCTACCGCAGACCATAAAAGAAAACAATTTTAAGTATGTAACTACAGAAGAATTGTTTTTAGACTTTGTTTAGCAAGATAGTATTCATAATCAAGCATCACTTAAATTCAAGGCAAGGAAAACTTGAACAGACTTGCTTTAGAAGCAGAGTTTAGTACCTATCTGCAGATCTAGATATGATTGTAGAAGTCCTTTCAGTGCACAGATTTATCCACACAAACATCTAGCACTCAAAAGGCAACACTGAATAGACACCAGTAGAAAATAAAATATCTATGTTTAATTAGTATTAACGAAAATAGTCTTTAGCAATAAATTTTCAAAAGTCTTAAGTCATAAGTCATAACCAAAAAAGGTTAGCTAAGCATCTAGCACATCCTTGGTAAGTACTATAACATTCACTATATGGCTGATACCTTCATGTATTCCTTGATAAATCGAGCTGCCTTCACACCAGTTTCTACATTAAAACTGATGTCAACTTTCACTTCTGTCTCCTGGTCAGTAAGTTTTATTATTGGTACCTGAAAAGATTGAAATAATGTTTTATGAATTCCCAGAAATGCAACACTTAAGACACACGGATACTATCAGTCCAAATGAATGCAACTATCAAGACAAGAAAGTGTGTTTCTGAGAAAAGAGAACAATCCTAATTTGACTGACAAGCAAATGCATTTTAGCGAGGTGATGAAAAACACAGGCATGTATTATCACATTAACTTATGATCACTCCTGTACTTTCCCATATCTATTAGATATCTGCCTTCATAGCTGCAATATCAGTATTTTGTAAGACAACTAAATTTACTTGATTTAATGACTCACTGCTGTTAATAGGGGACATTCTACCCTCACAACCTGAGGGAACTGCATAATAGGCAATTCTGCTCTCATAACCTCAGGGAACTGCATTAATCTGGTCCATCACCAAGCGGTATCCCTGATTCTGAAAATCCCACCCATTCTCCGGTAAACCAAAGACTACCACAGCTACTGTTATGCACTGACACTCTAACAGAAGCCACAGGAATCTTCTGGACCTATACGAGTTATGCTATTTCAGAGACAACAAAACCTAACAGCTTGCTAATAGAAGCCTGGAATACTCTTAGTCTCCTGGAGAAAAGACCACTTGGTCAGTAACACAAAATTCTCGTACTTTTAAGTTTTTAGCATATTCAATGTGATCCATTAGGCTTACAAGACAGATGCAAGAGATACTACACATCGGTTTCACAAATGAAATAAAGCTCTTAAGTAGTGTATTTTGGAAGGGAAAAAACAAACATTAGTTTTGGAACACTTCACTATGCCATCAGAAACAAGACAACGTGAAAAATCAGGGTTTCAAGCTAGACAGCTATAGTTACTAGTCCCTGGCTAAACAAAGTCCTCTCAAAGGTCAGTGGAAAAACATTAATTACACGAATACTTAACTTATTTTACCTAGTATTTTGCAAATACTGACTTTCAGATCTTTATTGACAGCATAAGCATAAAGTATGGTCTTCCAGCAAGTACAGTACACAGAATTAATGTCCATGTAAAAAACTGTGTGCTATTGCTAGGCACATACAGATTCTACTAAAATCTTGCACAGAGCAAAACATTGTGCTTAAGTCAATATAATTTGCTTCATAAATTAAGAACACTATTTATCACCACCATCTTAAGGGGTCTGAAAGCTTTTCAGTTCAGTATTCCAAAGACTATTACTTACCGTAGCTTTATCAAGTACTTTAATGGAATATGGCTCAGCCACATTGTGTTTTCTGAGTGCTTGCTCCAGCAGCTGTAAAGGGGGCCGTTCCCATTTCCCAAAAACAACTAGATCAATATCACTAGACAAAAAGAACACAGCACGAGATCCATTAAGTCTAAAGCACAATACCTCACCAAAAAAAAAAATCATAAAATTGGCATTCTACATATTACAAGTTCTTTAGGGTGACCATTTTGCAACTTTTAATCTAGGTTCCCAATAAGTTTCCTTTAGGAACGTTAAGCAAGACATGGTCTAGTGTGCTTCAGGACCCAAAGTAGTATTCCAGTTTCCTGCTTCCAGTTCTCTGATGAGCTCTTTGAGCTCCTCTTCCTTTTACCTTCCTTGCTCCTACTCCTCTGACTTCCACAGCCCAATCCCATCCCTCACCTACCCATGCTGACAGGCATGTTAACTGTTCAAACCATTTTTATCAGTGATTGTTCTTCATGGAAATGAAATCTCCAGTGCTTTCCTGTTGAAAATTTAATTGATGTAAAGACAACATAGCCTTTAAGACACAGCTACATAGGTTTTCCACATCCAACTACTGAACTATTAAGCAATATAAAACACTAAATTAAATAAGACATTTTGCTCTCCAAAAAAATGGGAAAACACAGCTGTGATGACTCCTCTGACTTTGCACAGTAACTCTGTGGTAAGTGACACACTCCTAGTAATTCACCTTATTTAGCAAAACACAACTTTTACACAGAAGTACTAAACATTCGGTTTCACTGTATCTTGAAAACAAAGAGCCAAAGACTAACCCGACACAAGGAATAAACAGTAATGCACTAAAGGGTCAGTAAGTACCTAGAGCAGTACAATGATATATCAAATACTTCTCAAATCTGTAAGTTCAAAAGCTCTTCCCTTTGTCACATGGGACATTAGGCAAAAATTTTACTGGAAGTTTGATATGTTTACACGTTCCAGTCTAAATTCCCCCCTGAAATTTACCATTACTCTAAAAGAAGACAAGCTTTATATAAAGTAAATTATTACTTACCTAGTTGGAAGGTAAAGCCCTGTACTAAAGCTGCCAAATATCTGGACCTGAAAAAAACCCACACCAGTGAAATATCTTGCAATTATGAATGATCACTTCATTTTACTTTCACAAGACTTAAGATTTTTCTGGACTTGTTAAGGATATAGCCCAGTAAAAAAGTTATTGAACTTACTTTACTATGTACTCTATTAAGCCTGTACAAATACACTTTCTTTTACAGATGCAACTTCAGAGGAAATTGTTGGGGTTTATTTAACATGAAATGACTACTAATCCTACTAGCAGCAGAGCACAAGCTTTTGAAACAAGTTCTTTTCACTATTTATTTCCAGTTTGGCAGAAGTATAAGCTGTTACAGATTTCCCTCCTTCCTGCTCCCTTCTTTCCCCATAGGATAGCTTTACCAAAATTGGAAGAGTTTAAAGGGAAACATTTTTAAAAAATTTTTAGGTTTAAAAAACAACAAGTGCATCTAAACATACAATCCAGATAAACGTGAATAGTCCGGATTTTACTGTAAGGACAACTATGAAATTGTGGTAGTTGTTTGTGTGTGGAAAAGGCAGCATGCTGAAGAGACATTCATAGTCCACATCAAATACTTTTAGTACGCTTCCAATCTAGAGAATTGAGAGGTTCTTCCCCCTCTGCTACAGCAGAGGACAATTAAAAAGCTTACTACTTTGAAGTGTCCTGTGAAAAGGCTGGGTAACACTGGTGCACTTCAGTGTTTGTATTGTTCCCACAAGCTAAAAAAATGTTATTACTAGGACAATCACAGGTGAGGATGAAGTAGATGAGCTTTACAGAATCTCTAGCTCAGTACCGTGGCCACAGCCCTCACTCTTCATCATGGAAGGCTATGAAATCACAATGGTCCGAGATGTTTTTCTGCTTGTTAATGACAACACTACTATCTGGTAACCAGAAAGGCGATCCCAGAGATACCATTTACATTACATCCCTTCTGGATGTTTTTTGTTTGGAGGAAACTTACTCTTTGGGTAATAAAGGGTTTGAAAATACAACTTTGGTCAAAAGATCTCTCAGAAGGTCAAGTCCAATTTTCTACTAAAGCAGGGGTAAAGCAATTCCCTGAATGTCAAATTTGTGAAGAGTAAAAAAAAAAATCTGGGATTTTTAATTGTTCTTTTGTAAAATACTTGTATTTACAAACATCCATAGAGTCAGACTTCTTGCAGAAATGGATACATATGTAGTTAGTCTCACTTTAATATTCAAAAATGAAGTTATGCGGAGACAATCAATTTAATAAGCTTTTATTTTAAGAAATGCACTTTTTAAAGTGGACAGTTCTTCATATGCCCAGTTGTCAAAAAGAAAAAACTGTCAGTAGCCTTCATTAAGCTGAAATCTAGATTTTAAATTTCCTCTGCTTTTTAAAATAAACTGCCAAGTAGTGCAAGAGTTGTGATATTAAGTCATTTGCCTAAAGTTTGAAGTCTTACTTGTTCATTTCCAAAACACAGATAGGTAATAGCAAAGTTAAGTGAACCGAACTCTACAATTTACTAGAGAAGCAAATCAACACTTAAATTACACTCACATCAGCTGTAGGCCAAAGATCTTTGATGACTGTTTCTATTCTTTTCACCACTTCCCTTCTCATAGCTGCTTCTTCAGGACGAGGGGACATGAAGTCATAGAAGTCAATTATTTCTTCGTGTAGTCTAAAGGAAAAAGTAGCAAAATTTTTAACGATGATTTAACTACTACAATAAATTTCAACAAAAACAGGCCATAGGCTTTATTTAATATCATCATTTAACCAAAACCAGCAGTAGTTTCAAGAAAGGTAAATGCCACAACAATTAGGCTTTCATATGGGAAACTGGAGGGTTTGGGATCCAGGATTTGGCACAGATATATTCATACTTTATTTTCATGGTAGCACCTCACAGTAACCTCAATACTTTCACATCAGGCCTCATCATATTACCTAAAACACAGAATCACAGAATAGTCAGGGTTGGAAGGGACCTCTGGAGATCATCTAGTGCAACCTCCCTGCCAAAGCAGGGTCACCTACAGCAAGTTGCACAGGAACGCATCCAGGTGGGTTTTGAGTATCTCCAGAGCAGGAGACTCCACAACCTCCCTGGGCAGCCTGTTCCAGCGCTCTGCCACTCTCAAAGTAAAGAAGTTTTTCCTCACATTCAGATGGAACTTCCTGAATTTCAGTTTGTGCCTGTTGCCCCTTCACCTGTTGCTGGGGACCACTGAAAAGTCTGGCCCCATCCTCTTGACACCCACCATTAAGGTATTTATAAGCATTAATGAGATCCCTTCTCAGTCATCTCTTCCCCAGGGTGAACATACCCAGCTCCCTCAGCCTTTCCTCATAAGGGAGATGCTCCAGTCCCCTCATCATTGTCATTGCCCTCCACTGGACTCTCTCCAGTAGTTCCTTGTCTTTCTTGAACTGGGGAGCCCACAACTGGACAGAGAACTCCAGATGTGGCCTCACCAGGGCAGAGTAGAGGGGGAGGAGAACCTCCCTTGACCTGCTGCCCACACTCTTAGTAATCCACCCCAAGACACCATTGGCCTTCTTGGCCATGAGGGCACATTGATGGCTCAGGGATAACTCGTTGTTCACCAGCACTGCCAGCTCCTTCTCAGCCGAGTTGCTCTCCAGCAGGTCAACTCCCAGCCTGTAATGGTGCATGGGGTTATTCTTCCCCAGGTGCAGGACCCTACACTTGCCCTTTTTGAACTTCATCAGGTTCCTCTTCGCCCAACTGTCTGGTCTGTCCAGGTCTCGCTGAATGGCAGCTTCACCAGCCACTCCCCTGAGTTTTATATCATCAGCAAACTTGCTGAGGGTACACTCCGTCCCTCCATCCAGGTCTTTGATGAATACTAGACCCAGAACTGACCCCTGGGGAACACCACTACCTATAGGGCTCCAACTAGACTCTGCGCCGCTGATCACAACCCTCCAAGCTCTGCCATTCAGCTAGTTCTCAATCCACCTCACTGTCCACTCATCCAACCCACACCTCCTGAGCTTCCTCCTATGAGGATATTATGGGAGACGGTGTCAAAAGCCTTGCTGAAGTCAAGGTAGACAACATCCACTGTTCTCCTCTGCCAGTCACACCATCGTAGAAGGCTATCAGATTGGTCAAGATTGGTTTCCCCTTGGTGAATCCATGTTGACTATTCCTGATAACGTTTTCCTTCACATGCTTACAGATGACATCCAGAATGAGCTATTGCATTAATTTTCCAGGGATGGAGGTGAGGCTGACCTGACCAGCCCGTAGTTTCCTGGGTCCTCCTTCTTGCTCTTTTTGAAGTCTGGAGTGACATTGGTTTTCCTCCAGTCCTCAGGCACCTCTTCTGTTCTCCATGAGCTTTCCAAAATGATGGAGAATGGTTCAGCAATAGCATCTGCCAGCTCCCTCAGCACTCATGGGCACATCCCAACAGGGCCCGTGGATTTGTGGGTGTCCAGTTTGCCTAAATGATCTCTAACCCAATCCTCCTTGACCAAGGGAAACTCTTCCTTTCTCTTTACCTCCAGGGACCGGGATTCCTGAGGGTCTTACTTAGCAGTAAAGACTGAAGCAAAGAAGGCCTTCAGTAACTCCGCCTTCTCCATCTCCTCTGTCATCAGGGCACCCACCTTGTTCAACAACGGGCTCACATTTTCCCTAGCCTTCCTTTTTGCTGCTGATGTACTTGAAGTCCTTCTTCTTGTCCTTGATATCCCCTGCCAGATTTAATTCCAAGTGGACCTTGCTAGATGTTAAAGATGTCAAAAGACACAGGACGCTAACACTAGTAGACATTTACTAACCTTCTTACTGGCTCAACAGTGAAAGACAAATTCAATTCTTGATTCCCAAAGATTATTTTCTTCAAAAAACAAAGTATAGTCTTAAAAAGTATGCAATGATCCAAATGTGAAGCAGCATAAGAACAAATAAAATCTTCAAGTAGGTTTATTCTTCCAGGGGTTCTTACTTCTGTGTATGAGGAAGTTTACACAAACTTGGAAACAGGTCACTGGCATTAACAAGTTTTTGTAGAGGGCAATAAAAAGAGTATTTCATAGAATCCTAGAATGCTTTGGCCAGAAAGGACCTTAAAGACCATCTAGCTCCAAGTCCCCTTCCGTGGGCAGGGATACCTTCCACTACACCTGGTTGCTCAAAGCCTCATCCAACCTGGCCTTGAACACTTCCACGGAAGGGGTATCCAGAACTTATCTGGCCAATCTATTCCAGTGCCTCATCACACTCACAGCGAAGACTTTCTTCCTAATATCTAATCTAAATCTTCCCTCTTCCAGTTTAAAGCCATTGCCCCTTGTCCTATCACTACATGCCCTGTAAAAAGTCCCTCCCCAGCTTTCTTGTATGCCCCTTTAGGTACTGGAAGGCTGCTCTAAGGTCTCCTCAGAGTCTTCTCTTCTCCAGGCTGAACAACCCAAACTCTCTCAGCCTGTCTTCATACAAGAGGTGCTCCATCCCTCTGATCATCTTCACAGCCCTCCTCTGGACTCGCTCCAACAGGTCCATGTCCTTCTTGTGTTGGGGGCCCCAGAGCTGAAGGCAGTGCTGAAGGGAGGGTCTCATCAGAGCAGAGTAGAATGGGAGAACCCCCTCCCTCAACCTGCTGGTCACACTGCTTTTGAAGTATTGAGTATTCCTTGATGAGAAAATGTCCACTTTGACAAACAGGGATTCCTTTCACCACTCAAGCCCTTTATTAGCCATTCATTCATATAGGAAGTGACCTTCCAACTGAACTACTCAAAGTGAGATGCATTAAATGTATTTTTAAGTGTAAAGTACATTAATACCAGTGTTACATGAGGAGTTCTGACACTGGATCTTTATACACCTCTTAAGTCCTTTTCTTTCCCATCTCCCAATAGTATAGAATACTTGCTGCCAAATTTGAAAGAAAATAAATCTGAATTTTCAGGTGTATGTCATGTTTGCTTTCAATGGAAAAGCATCAAGCCATGCCAAACAAAAACATAAATATGCAAATAACTACTGCTGTGATATTTTACAAAAACATCTTTTTGATGTTGACATATTTCTAAGATTTCTCTCTAATTCAAGAAACATATCAATTCAACATTGTAGCAAAACCCAAATACAGTCCTAAAAAAAAACAGGTTCAGTCGTTAAGTTGACATACTTAGCCTTCCAAAAGGAAAAATTTATACATCTCTAGTAGAACTCCTAACTCTTACCCAGAGACTTTTGCAATTCATTTTACTATAGAATTCCCACTTCTAACAGAGAGCCTCCGACAGACCAGATGCCCAATTTTTAAGCATCAAGATTCCTCTCTATACACAAAGATATTTTAGCAGCAAAGCACTATTATGCTTTTTAGAAATATTTTTTAGAATAACTGTTCACCCCTTCTCTTATCTTAAACTGGGCCTGGATCCACAACTGAACATTTAACTACACAGCAGATGCATCAGCTAAATGTTTCAATTTGTTGATGAATCTACTTGGTTTCAAAACTTCAGAGTAAGACAGAAAATACAAACTAAGATGCTCTTATTTTGTTTCTAGATAGAAAGTATGGGTTGGTTTTTTTCCCTTTCCAAGATGACAAGACCAATGAAGAAAATACTTGAATACAGCTAACAGCAATAGGGTCAAACTAAAAATTTCCCATTGTCTTCCTTATAAAAATCAGCAGTAGGCAGATAGATGGTGAAAGAAAACATAAAGCAGTTATCCAACTCCCTTGCAGCAATCCTTCCAAGCCTCCAGTAATGTCACTTGGCATACTTTTGGGGTAGATCCCAACCATAATGTGCATTAGCTCAAAGGACTTTTCTTCCACTGATTCTTCCAGGTTTTTTTAGTCCATTTATGCTTTTGCCATTCATGGCATTCTATGAGAATTTAAGTATGCATCAGAATAAAGAAGTGCTTCGTTTTAAACTGCTGCCTGTTAATAATTTTATCTGATGCTCTTTTTCTTGGGGGAAAAAAAATTACTGGCAGTTCATCTCCAAACATAACACTTCTCAGGCTCTCAGTTCATATCCACTTGTGTCTATCCACTAGCTCTTTTTCAAGCTACCAATGCTCATCTGTTTTTTCTCTCCTTACATAGGAACAGGTACAAAGTCTGATCACTGCTAACCTTCTTCAGCTTGTTTTCAGTTGCAGCATGTTTTCTGACAGGTGGCCAGAAACGCACAGAGTCAATACATAATTATGCCATTCAGTCCATGACACACACCTACTTTCATTTCATTGTCCCTATCTTTGCAAAGGTTGCTGCTAACTGCTATTTGAGGATATCTGTGCATACAGCTGCTCTTTAAAAGAAACCATTATGAAGGAGCTTCAAGGTGTTTTCTGAACAAAAACCACCAACATAAAGCCCACCTGCTGCGTATATTCAGCCTGAATTATTTTGCTTCAGATTCATGATTCCATATTTACTAGAATTTAATTTTATCAGCAATTTTATAACCTAATGAACAATGAACTCCCACTGCGACTGTCTGCAGTCACCTCTAGCTTTCTATTATCCTTTCTATCCTTTTCTCATTCATTTCTTCCCTCCAGGTCTTGAGTAATTCCACTGGTAGCCTTCTCTTATTATAAAGTAAATAATTTATCCTTTCCTTTAGTTACTTCTAAGCAGTTAATCCATAAGCCCAGCAAAC